TAAATTTTAAAACTATATTAATGCGATATTTTTATCATTATTAAAAAAACTTTTTGCCAATTTTAATGAGATATATTAGGAAAATGTTTCTTGTATGTTTGTTTGAAGACGTACAAAGATTAGGAACATAATTTAAATACTAAGAATTTACCCAATTTTGTTAATTTCATATTTCCTTTAAATGATATTTGTTTTGCTACATAGATAGTTCTCATGATATTTTTAACTTCTGTTCTACTTTTTCAAATCTTGATTCTGATTTATTTGACTCATTCACCATTATATAGTTCAAGAGGTTAGTATATTAATTTTTGTATAGAAACATAATTCATGAAACATGCCGCCGGCATTCACATTCATCAGTTGACGAACAGTTTCCCAGTAGTCAGATAATGAATAGTTCTGTGACCAGACAAGACCGGTTCGGCGCCGGGACTGTGACGGGACTGATGTGTTCGAATCAACCTTTAACGAAAATTCGATACTGAAAAACCTTTTCATGCAAGCTCAGATAGTGACGCAGATTATTTACCTTTAAAAGATGAAAATTCTAGTTAATATGAAGGAAAATGAGGAACAAATAAGTAAGAGTCAGAAGAACAAGAAAAGTAATACTAGAGTTAAAGTGGGTAGAAAATGAGAAACAAAAGAAAAAAAAAAGGATTGATGTAAAATATAAAATTTGTCTAGATCGTGAGTTGGAACAAACAAATCGACAGGGAAAACTGGTTTGCCAACAAACCCACAGAATTACCTGTATCACAAAAATAAATGTAGAAATAAGACAGAGGATTTTTAAAGACTTTTAGAACTTGCAAGATTATATAAGGTAATGAGACTTTATTGTGCAGCATGTGACACAGATAGAGAAAAACCAAAGAAAAGGCATATCCAAAATGAGCGAGACGCCATGCATGCTGTAATTGAAAACGCGAAAAAACGTTAGTCGGTCTTGTATGTTCCTGAGCAATGTATTACTTTGGTAAGAATGGCCAAACCTATCGGAAAAGTATATAAACATAAATGTTACAAGAAAACTTCCTAGATTTCAAAAGCCTTGTTGGCAACAAAAATCAATCAAATAAAGTAAATCAGTTCTTTGTATAACACACCAAATGTTGACATTTTTAAGTATGATTCAAGTTCCGATTCTAACAAGTGTGATCTAAAAGGTGTGACGAATGCAAATAAAGTACGTTCATCTCGTATTGACAAATTTCCATTTAAAGTAGACACAAATCTTTTGCCAATAGATAAGAAAAAGGTTAACTGGGTCATTATGGCTTTAGGATACTGGAAAAATTCCTATTATGTACCATGGCTTCTATAGAACTCTACATTCTGATACATCATAAAAATATGAAATCACTGTAAGCAGTGATGACGAAGAACTGCAATAATGTTCGTTTAGAATATTTTGTAATTTAACTTCTATGTTGACTTTAATCATAAATACAGTTTTACAGAACAATGGTATGTATTATGTATATTTCCGATTCTTTTCCAGCGAATATTGTACTAATTCATTTAAAAACCAGATAAAGAAACAAAATTGAGACATTTGTTTGTTTCTAAGACTACAACAAAGTCTTTATTACTATACAGCATAATTCGTTAATACAGACCATTGACAAAACAAATATTAACTCAAGAGATATTAGAATAATAAAGACTATAAACTGGAAGTCATAGTACTTAAAAATAAAAATCAGACTGGGTATTAGACAGGGATGTATTTTATCACCATCTTTGTTTAATGTCTAGTTCAAAAATATATTCAGAAAAGTACAACGAAATGGTTGGTATTAATAAACCCATATGTGTTCAGGATCTGTCAATAAATATAAAAGGCGACGATGATACGTAGGTGACGATTTCAGCGAAATAAGAATAAGAATGGAAAAGACATAAAACGCATTTAAAAATGTGAAATAAAAACTCTGAAGTAGAGATCTAAGCCCGAAATTATTGTTATGTCTTTCCGGCTCTGTTGTATAGTGCAGAGTAATGGACTGTTAATAAATGTTGCCTGAATAAACTGGAAGCTTTTGAAATGTGGACAAACCGAATAATTTTAAAAATATCTTGGTCAAATAAAGTGACCAATAAAGTTAATCAAAATAGTTAGATCATACAAGTTATGCCCAAAAATAACAAAGACAATTAAATATTGTATGCTAATAAAGTAAGCAAACTTCAATATTTGGGACATATATAACAAGTAGTGAAAAATACAACAGCCTACAATTGATAATGCAAAACAAGATTTAAGGTACACAGCATAAGACAAAGAAAAATGTTCTGGTTGAGAAATCTAAGAAAATAGTTCTTGTACAACTCAATACAATTTTTCCCTGCAGCGACTTCAAAGATAAGAATAGCAAAGATGATTGCCAATCTCCTTGGCGAAGAAGGCACGTGAAGAAGAAGAAAAATAAAACATATTGCGCTTAACCAATTGCAGTTGGTGATCATAATTTATTTACATGAAAAATGTAACAACAATGTGTCAACGCCTTTCTACAATTATGTAAGTATGTCACTTTGTCACCACAACAGGTGTCACATGAGTTTAGATAATAAACATTGTGATAATTTAAACTAAACTATAAAATTTTTTTTATAAATTGAAAATTATTTGAGAAAAATACACAAAAACCAATATGGAGATTCATAAGAAAGCAACAAAAAGAAATGGCAGAATTAAAGGAATACAATAACATACCAGCAACTGAATGGCAAAGACACCTGACGGAACTGTTTAAAGGAAAGGAAAATAATCAACACAATACCGTACCTGAATTAAGACACGAAATAAAAATCAGTTTTCAAGAAGTAGATAAATTCACTTAAAATAAATTTACTCAAAAATAGAAAGTCGCCAGGACCAGACGGAATAACCAACGAGCTTCTAAAACACGGAGGAGACAGTATAACCCTTGAGATGACAAAAGTTATACAAAAGCTAATATTGCATTGCAATATACCAGACCCATGGAGAAACAGTATAATGATACCAATGTTCAAGAACAGAAGAAGATCCCAACAATAATTATAGAGGTATAAATTTCCTAAATATCACACTTAAGCTTACCAAAAAAGTCCTAATCAACAACATCACTAAACTAACAACTTTATTAGATAAACAACAAGGATTCAGATCCAGAACATCCTGCGTAATCGCCGTATTTGTACCAAGACAAATCACAGAAAGGCCATTGAGTACAATAAACCAGCATATCTATATTTTATAGACTTGACAAATACTGTAGCTTGCATCCAAGTCGAAGACAGCTTACAACTACTGTATAAAAGAAACATACAAATCAATATTATACAAATGATCAAAAACATCTACTCTCATAATCGACTATAAGCAAATATAAATATAAAACTAACACAGTGTATACAAGTACAAAGCGGAGTCAGACGGGGTGACTCATTAAGCCTACTTCTCTTTAATATAATAATGGACGAAATAATACAAGCAGTAAGTAAAGGTCATGGTTAAAGAATAGGGAACAAAGAAATCCAAATATTGTGTTATGCAGACGGTGAAGCATTAATCACCGAGACAGAAGACGATCTTTAAAGAATAAAACACATCTTCAATACAACAGTCAACAAATAAAATATAATATCAGCAGAAAAAATTAAATGTAAGACAACATCCAAATACCCACTACGATGTAAAATCGAAATTGATAGGAAAATAATAAAGCACGAAGCAAGGTTTAGATATCTGGGAATAGATGTAACTAGTTACGGAGATGTTGAAGAAGAAGTATAGCAACAAAGCTTAAAAGCAAGTAAAGCGGCAAGATCTCTTAATGCCATAATCTGGAGAAACAAACACCTAAGACAAGCCACAAAAACAAGAATCTATAAAGCAGAAATTAGACCTATATTAAAATACAAGCGGAGGACAAGACCTGACATATCTAAAACGAGACAACTACTAAAAACAACAGAGATAAAAATACTCCAACGATTATCAGGGAAAAGTCTGTAGCACGAGATAAGTCACCAAATGGGCGAAGAAGTATTGGCAAACCAAGAAAAAGATGGTTCGATAATTTCAACAATTTATTAGGACAATATTGAAGAAAAAACAGGCTTTAAAGCCTACATAAAAGAAGGAAGAAGAAGAACGAACAATAATTTATTTACATGAAAAATATAACAACAATGTGTTAACACCTTTCTTAAGTTATGTAAGTATGTCACTTTGTCACCAAAACAGGTGTTGTGAGTTTAGTGAATAACAACTATGATACTTTAAATGCAACTATAAAAATTTTATTTGTAAATTAAAAAATATTGGCAAATAACAATAACAGATCACTTAAGTGCTCATCCTATCAACACATAATCAATTAGATGGTTCGGCAATATACACAGAATGCGCATACAGTCTCAATATCTCTAATGAAAGTAAGAACAAAAAAAGTTACGACAACTTTAACAAATCAAACCTCATTTAATTACAAAAAACGATTAACAGCAGAGATTTATAAAAAACCTTAACAAGATTTAATCAAATAAAATCAAAACCTATAATTTCTATCAATAATCAAGATCTACCGATTCAAATTGTACATTTAAAATCTTGAACCATAAATTTCATATCTACCATAAATTTAAGTGTCAATCAAAATGTAAATGTTAAAATTATCTAATAATTCTAAAGCAGCAAAGAAAAATGTGTAAATTTTATTTAATAATTCTTCCGAAAATGTAAAAAACAGGAAGGTTATCTTTTACAACTTTTTGTTCTGCATTGAATAATATAATGTTTTTTTGTATTGGCATTTTGTTAACCATTTAATTATTTGAATTTATTTTTTAAAAAAATGTCGCCTAATATTTTTTGTAAATTTAAAAAATTCTCTAACCAGAAAGTCGAAAGTCCCCGATGTAAAGTGCTAATTTGCAAAGGTCTCGTGCAGTGTCATAAAACTTAATGATCTTCGTCGAATTGAAGCCAAAAATCCACTTACCCGATTTTTCGAGTGAGCCCGTTAACCACAAAATTCGTTCTTAAGCGAGAGCGTCAGATCCTGCGTCATGTTATACCGTCCAAAAGTATGTTAACACCTGACAGGTAAACGTACGTATACGATCGGAGTAGAGGACGCGTCAGGCAAGTTTCTCACGTCTGACTGCCGCATCGCGTCTCCCGGGCTGGTCCAGGATGCCAGGATGCTGTGGACGTGAACCAACGTCCTGTCTCATCCTTAGACTTGCGCACAGCTTCAATCGATAATATTTAGAGCTTTAGATCCAGTGAATATATTCATTTTTTTTCAAGATTCCTTCAAGAGTTGGTATTCACTTTTTGTATGGGGATCCGCTCTTGATCATAGCACTACACATGTAGGGTGGTGTGGGGCAAATTATTCCGCTGCGCTTCCGGCTTGGGACTAATCGCTCTATACAGAGAATTTATGCGGCATATACTCATATATACAGTGTATCGAGAACTTATATCCTTTAATAAAACCTATACAATAAAATTTTGGTATCATAAAAATTGTATAAAAGTAAGCCTTTGAAATTTTTCAAACAAACAACTTTTTATTAGCAAATAACTATTAATCTATTAGCTAGAATATTATTTCAATGAACTGATATGTTGTGTGGTATCGCTCACACACGTATTGGGAAAATATAAAGTAAATCCGCAAGAGTAAACAAACCTATTTTCTATTCGAACTATCGAATACATGCCTTCCCCATTTCCGTCTATGCTTCTCTAACCTTATCAGACGTCTCCATAGTCCTGTAAGGCATACTTCACACGAAGCGTATCGTCATAGACGCGTGTTAGAGTTGACGTACGAAAAGCATACGCTTTCGTGCTGCTCACTTCTGTCTTTACGGAATACTGTATAACTCGATATAGCTGCAACGTTCAAGGTCACTACATCGATAAAGGAAGGAGCCAAAACTCAGTTATATGCAAGTGGCCGAAGCGTAAACATCCATATATTTAGCGTGGAACATAAATTCTACTGCGTTTATTACGTTCTCGGATAACAGATAACATAGAATTCTGAGTTCACAAGATCGTGAAATTATATGCTCTTGGTTTTATTATGACTAATAACTTAGCAAATAACATATTGTATCAATTACCTTAAAAATTTTAACTTTGATATTAGTGTTTTGATTATAAAGATAATTACCTATAAACTCATTACAGTAATTATGGAGTATTATTATTACAGTTCAATACCTCTAAAATAAAATTCGATTAGGCAACATCGCATCAACCAACGTCTGTCGTATCTGGTCATATTAAATCATCACCGTTACAGTTAAATCTGTTTAGCTGCACACGAAGCATAAGTGGCGCGAAATCTTCAACGCAGACAAGCTTCAAGCCGCCAGGCGTATAACGATATCAGTCGCTTGCAGTACGCTTTAGTGTAAGAACACCTTTTTTGACGGAATTTTATGAGAATGGCGGATCAAATATTAAAATTGGTCCAACTCAGTGAAAATTATTAGTGTTTATAATACCTTACAAGAGTACTCCAGAAAAGATGTGACTGAAAAAGAGTGGTAAGCAGTAGCCAGGCAAATACAGTGGTCAGGTAGGTTAAAATAAAAGTGGGCCTCAGAAGTGATCCCCTGGAAATAATATCTAACCAATCAGGTTTGTTGTCCAATAACTGAAATGGTTTTGTAGGGATTCCTAGTTTGTATTTTTTTTTGAATTTATGTGCTAAGGATACATCAATATATTTGAGTAATTCCAAATTAATTTGTTCTTTGACTTCAAAATTTTTCTTTCAATTTACACTTTCTTCATTTAACATTGGGTCTTGTAAATAACTTGGCTGAACAAAATAAGTATTGTAGCATCCTCGATATGGACCTTTAGGATGCTTATCCCTGCGCGCGGCTGCAAGGCTACTGGTCCCACTGGTCTGGAATGACTGGCTCACCTTCGTGGATTTACGAGAAGGTAGAGACGTTTCGAGTATGATATAGTATAATAAAGTTTCGAGTATAATAAACTGGTTGTTTTCAGTTAGAAGTTAAACCACGCGCGATCACTGCTTGAAAAGATTTATTAGGTCCCAAAACTTGTTGATGGTTCTTATCAATATCAATTCTATTTGACAAATAAATTTCGTCAAACGAAAGTATACATATTCTTTTAACTTGAGTAAATTCTGTAATTTTTTTTTCATCATTTTATCAATCAATCAATCGTTAAATTCATGCAATACGCGGTTCAAAATCTCTGGGCTTATATCAAATTCTGATATCCAACGTCAAAGAGAAAACATGGCCGGTAAAGAAAACTTATTTGCTTTTATAGATCTATATACCTTGAGATTAACACTACATAAAGAAATTACGTAAAGAGATAACATCAAATGTAGAAAGATGGCCTATTTTGGACACGTTGTAAGGGGAGACCGATATAATATTCTTCAACTCATTATGATGGGTAAAATTGAAGGACGCAGAGGAATTGGTAGAAAGCAGGCCTCTTGGTTAAAGAATATCAGAGAGTGGACAGGAATAAAGAAAGCTGAGCAACTCTTTAGAATAGCTCGAGACAGAGACAGTTTCGCCATGTTAATCGCCAACGTCAAGGGGACTTGATAGGGCACGTTAAGAAGAAGAAGAAAGAAATTGCCGATACAATATTTTCAGCTGACCAATGAATATTTGTATTGTTTGGACTAAACAGTTTTCCGATTTCACCTGAAGTAAAAACCGTTTTCATTGCCAATTCATATTTTTGAAGCAATAGTGACACTTGAGAAAGGCAATCAGCCGAAACAGCTGTAGTGATAAGAGTTAAAATAAATTTTGTGGAAGTTTGAAAACAAAGTTTTCAGTGTTTTATTGTTACATAATTCGAATTATAATTAGTATTTAGTATATTCTACCGAATTGGCGCAATCAGAGTTTGCGCTGATGTTTTTGTCCGCTTTATCCTATATAAATAAACGACAGCATCAATGCCAGAACGGATTGTTTATTTGAAATAATAGATTAATCGTGACAATAAATATGGAAATTGCACAATAATCTACAAATTTTAAGCGTTTAAATGATACGTAGCTTTTATTTTTTTATTTATCGGAGTTGAAATACATCTCTATTTAAATTTGTGGGATGATGTCGGTGTACAACTGTAACTTGGCTTAAATTTATATCTCGTCGCAGTACAGTACGCAAAAAAATGACCCACTTCCGGTAAATTGCTATAGCAAACATAATTTACGTTTTAGACGACTAATTTTAATCGGTTTTAACAATAATAAAGTAACCACTATTTTCTAATTTTCGCAAAATTTATGTAATATTTCAAGGCAGACTTGGTGTAAGTTTACATTGTTTCCACAGTTTTCATATTTTAATAAGCACAATGTGTTACTGTTTCCATTAGGCATATGGTATATTATATCTTCTTCTTCTTCAGATGCAAATCCACTAACGGATGTTAGCGATCACATTTTCCAATAATTCTCTATTTCCTGCAATATGTATCAGAGATTATATGTCGTTAATCCCTGTCCATTGCCTTATGTTTCGGAGCCAGGACATTTTCTTGCGTCCCATATCTCTCTTGCCTTCTATTTTACCCTCGATTATAAGTTGGAGGAACTGGTATTTTTCATTTCGCATGATGTGACCTAGATACGCCGTTTTCCTTTTCTTGATGGTTTCGAAAAGTTGGCGTTCTTGGTTTATTCTTTTAAGGACATCTATATTTGTGATTTTTGCTGTCCATGGTATTTTTAGGATACGGCGATAGAGCCACATTTCGAAAGCTTCTAATCTGTTTATATCCCTCGTTTTGAGTGTCTAGCTCTCTACGCCATATAGCAGCACTGACCACACGTAGCACTTAGTAAACCTTAGTCTCAGTTGAAGATCGAATGCGATATTTTACTTCCCTGTCCGATGCCCAGTTTTCAAAAAGTCACGATCCCAGCTATTTAAATTTACTCACTCCTTTAGAACAGGTAAACCAATACAAATACCTTGGCTGTTGGATTAATTGCAAGCTGGACCCAGAACAAGAAATTAAAGCGAGAATTGCTCAAGCTAGGGATAGTTTCTTTAAGATGCGCGTTCTATTCTGCGATACACATATAAATATTAAATTGAGATTAAAACTTGTAAAATGTTTTATCTGGTCTGTTCTTCTCTACGGAGCCGAAACGTGGACTTTAAAAATAAAGAGCCTGAATAGAATCGAGGCATTTGAAATGTGGGTGTACCCTAGAATTTTAAAAATTCCTTGGACAGCACGAAAAACAAATGAAGAAGTACTAGCTAGACTCAATTTAGAAAAAGAACTATTGAGAACAGTCAAAAGAAGAAAAACCAGTTATTTAGGGCATTTGTTGCGCAACGAGAAATACTACATCCCTCAGTTGATAATAAAAGGCAAAATAGAAGGAAAGCGAGGAACTGGAAGAAAAAAATTGTCCTGGTTACGTAATATCAGAAACTGGACAGGACTTGGATTTGAGGAACTCTTAAGAGCAGCTGAAAATAGACAAACGTTTGCCACCATAACCGCTAACCTCCATTGATGGAGACGGCACTTGAAGAAGAAGACTCCTTCAATGGACTTAGTATTCAGTGTTATGGTGGAGTTTTTAAGTGCATCCAAGTTTCTGGAGATGATCATAAATTTGGTATTTTTGATAATAATCTCTAATCCCATTCGATTACTGTATTCTCCGATTATAGTGATAAGTTGTTGAAGATCGACTATTTTGTCACAAATTAAGACACCATCTTCAGCATATCGAATGTTTTTGATCAATACTCCATTCACTTTGATTCCCATCTTTACATCCTCCAAAGATTCTTGAAATATGACTTCCGAATAAATGTTAAATAAAAGAGGGGAAAGCACACACCCCTGTCAAACGCCCCTTCTTATATGTATGGGTTTGGATATAGAATTGTCTACTTTTAACTGTGCCGTTTGATGCCAGTACAAGTTTTCAATGCATCTTATGTCTTTTTGGTCTATATCAACTTTCTTGAGGATCTGCATTAACTTGTGGTGTTGGACACGATCAAACGCTTTTTGATAATCCAAAGAGCATAGGAACACATCCTTCTTCTGATCGTAACAATTTTAGACCAGCACCTATATTGTTACTATTGCTTCTCGTGTTCTTAAACCTT